AGCAAGGGGGACAGCGCTCACTTCCACCAAGAGTGGACCAGGGAGGAACGCACGTCCTCTGGACTGCAAGATCCCTGAGCGCTGAGCCTCCTCAATTCGGAAGACAGAGCGCCATGACTCCAGGAGACAGCCAGGGACACAGGGGCAGCAGAACTAAGGGGAGGTGACCGAGCAGTGGGCATCCAGACTCAGGGGGCAAGACAGCGGAGTGCCATCAGGCCAAGGCTTACTGATGGAGTGGGCACTTAATTGGCAGAACTACATTTGCCCAAGCAGGGCAGAGGTTCCAGGAGCCTGAGCAGCTTAGAGAGAGGCTGAGGACCAGCTGTGGGCACAGCTAAGAAGAGACAGACCTGACGGCGGCATGGTCTACTGAGAGTCTCAGATCCTGAACTTGTCACCCGCTCAATGCCCTGATAACCCCCAAGTCAGGGCTGTGGTCTGTGAAGCCTGTCCGGCCGATGCCATGTGGGAGGGATGGTGGGTGTCAAAGCTGGTAATGAGCGCCGGGGGGTGGAGTCAGGTCCAACATCAACTTCACAGGAGTCAGCCTTGGGCTGATGCGGACGACTGTGTCCCTCCACCTGCCTTGGGAAGTTAGAAATTTAGAGGGGGGCAGATGCCTCCTGCATGTCCTTCTTGCATGTCTTCCCACAGCAAGAAAACAAGGAAGGAAAAGACCTCCGCCCATTGACAATGCTATCAAGTATATAACCACAGATTCTAACGTGGAATGACAGAGAGAACCCGTATGAAGAACAGGTAAGACTTTCAATGCAAGCTGAACAAAGCAGCAGGAGGATTTTAACCACCAGGGAAAGGCCTGCCTTTGGATGGCACAGGTCCACGATCACTGGGGCTGTGGCCCGATTCACGCTGTGTTGGCAGGATGAGCAATGTCACAGCGGCGTTTACACCAGTATCTCCTTCAGAGCCAGTGATACTTCGTGGGTGCTAGATGGTCAGGTTTGGAAGGCACGCCAGAGTTAAAAGACGGGACGTGTGAGCTGACAGAAGATTCCCTCGGCAAGCCGAGTTATCCTGTTAAAATGTCTGATATCTAATCCCGAGTCGCTGGGGGTGGAAACGCAAATCCTCCGCCGAGGAACAGAGGCGCCCCGAAAGGCCTGATGGAAGCAGCAATCTGCCTGCCCTGGTTTCAGAGTTTGAACCCTCGCCCGCTCTGAGCTGCTGTGCCATCAATGCTCCACAGGAAGCAGTGATGTGTTTAGAAGGAAACTGATCCCTTGGGTTTGAGGGCTCCTGTCTTCCGCCTCTGGGAATCCCGTTCTCCCGCGCCCTTCTTGGATGTTCTGGGAAACTCCTTCCCACTGTCATTTTTATTCTCGAGGCCTGCAGCACTGCAGGATGCTGCCTTCCTCACACGACTCTTTACTTAAGAAGCCATGCGCGGGGCTGCTCACGGCAAGGTCAGCGGTTTGAAACCACCAGCTCCTCCACGGGAGGGGGACGGGGCTCTCTCCTGCCACGGAGCTGCACCCAGGCTGGGTCACTGGGAAAATGGACCGTGTTATCAGTGCAACGGCCTTGTTCCCCAGGGGATTCGATTGACAACGTGGTGCTTTCTTGTTTCTATGGGGTTTTGTTTTCCGTCTTTAGCTTTTTACCCCGTTCCTGCTTGTTGTTTGCTGGTTGGCTTGTTGTTGCTATTGGTTCAGTTGGTCTCATGGGGCTGATTTTTGTCATGTTACAGCCACCAAAGTAAACCCGGGTCCTGCTTATCACGTGGACATGCAGATGGAGTCTGGGCTCCTGCTAACTCCCGCCCCGATCCAGGAATAGTTCATCCTGAGAACAAGGCCCTGCTCGATACTCGCCCTCATGAAATGACCACCGACGACGACGGGGCTACAGCAAAGGGTGGTGAAGAGAGTAGACAGTGCCGGTCATCAACCGGAATAGTGTCGGGGTCTTGAAGGCTGTCTTCAAACAAGCAGCCATCTAAGCGAGGAGGCATCCAGCTCCATGTGCAAGCAGCACACCAGCTGTGATCCAAAGACGACAATAACAAAACCCAAATACGATGAAGGGAAAAGCTAAAATTACCAACATCCACTTGGCAGAAGGATGGAGGACAGTGGAGCCCAACACCCATGTGCAGAGTCTCTGGTTCGACGACGCCTCTGGCGGATCCCCACTAGCCACAGGCAAGGCCTCTCACACAGCTTCACTCTCAGACAGAGATCACGGCAATCTTAATCACGCTGGATCGGACGTGGCCTCCCTCCTGACCCAAGCTGAATTTGTTCCAGGTGCAAGTATCTCTTGACAAAAATTTCTTCCTTACTGATTATTTGTATTTTTATCTTTATACTATTATTCTTTTATCCTTACTGCTTTGTTTGGTTTTTGATGGTTTCTGTTGGGTTTCCCAGTTTGTTTAGCACAGAAAGAGGAAGTATAGGGATAAAAACTGATGCAAGGGTTTACTGGGGATGTAGGGGTGGGGGTGGGGGTGGGGGTGGGGGGTGGTTTCCGGAGTAAACAACGATGATGGGAGGAAGCATCGGAGCTGATGGTAATGACACAACTCATTTTGGGCAAGGGTGGGGTGTTCTAAAACTGATTGTGGTAATGACTGTACAATCCTTCTTGGTATGAATGAATGAATGAATGACTGGATTGTAGGATGTATGGATTCGGTGCCAATAAAACTAAAAAAAAAAAAAAAGTGCAGCCAGCAGAAGCTACAGGGGCAGTTCTACGCGGTGAGTCAGCATCCACCACGCAGTGACAGTGAGCTTTTTGGTGTTGCTTGGAAGCACTGTTATCTAAAACTGTTCCCGGTGAGACCATGACCTGTGGGCGAGTCTGGACCGGTAGGCCCTGGACAGAGCTTCTCTTCAATGGCACCACCATCGTCTTCCCCAGGTGCTGAGAGCGTCCCGGCTTCTGTGTCTCCAGGAAGGGCCTTTGACGGAGTTATAAACCAAGTACCAGGAGTCCCATTCTCTGCTTCCCAAAGATCCATCTATATACCTTGGCCTGGTCTTTGACATTGAATGTATAGGTTTTACAGCAACATGTTTTTCTCCTCAAAATGTGCTCACGTATTCCAAGGAGATCTCCAGGAACGGAAACATTTGGACGCCTTAGTGATGTCACTGACCCTCCACGGACAGCACGTGAGGGCGTCTTCAGGGCCCCCGGTTGCCCTTGCCTTTGGCATTGCTGACCTAGATCCAGCATCTCTACGGGAGACCACGTAATCCCACAGGAGAGGGACAAACCCTAAGCAGGAATGTCAGGCGAAGCTCCTGCATCTAAAACTCGTCCCCTTCTTCACGGCTGACTTCCGGCGTGTCTACTTTGTCCCAAGGGGACCTGGTGGTTCTACGGGTTAGGTATTGGGCTGCTGACTGCCAGGTCGCTGGTTCAAAGGCACCACCTTGCTCCGTGAAGACGGTGTCTCAGAAGGGTCAGTCATTGAGAGTCAGAACCACTCGGTGGCAGTGGGCTTCCTTTTGGTTGACCTGAATCAGGTGAGCACATGCAGGCACTACCCCCATTCATGTAGAGCAGTGGTTCTCACCCTTCCTGATGCCGCGACCCTGTAACACGGTTCCTCATGCGGTGACCCCCCCAACCATAAAATTATTTTCGTGGCTACTTCATAGCTGTCATTTTGCTGCTGTTATGAATCGGGCGACCCCTGTGAAAGGGTCATTGGACCCTCAAAGGGGTCACGACCCACAGGTTGAGAACCGCTGATTGTAGAGCTTTGGGTCTGGAACTCGTAGGAGACTGGAAGTCCAAGAGACCAAGGGCACGAATCTAAAGAGGGCCCAGAACGATCTACTTTGGGATGAATCCACAAGACCTGGGCCCAGGTAGACCACAAGCCTAAAACAACCTCTTAGCAACAGTCCTCTCTCCTTATTTCCTCCGTTTTCAGAACTCCCGGCAGCCAAAGATGACCGAGTGAAGATTTCTGCCTTGGGAGTTCTGCAGAATTTTCATAACAGCTCCCATGCCTTCTTGGGCATGATCAATCCTTCCCTTCCTTGCAATCTACTTCTTTCTTAGCATGCGCGCTAGATCTGGGGAGGAACCTCACCTTGGATTAAGAGAAGCACATTCCTTCAAAAGTGTTTAAAACAATTCTTGAGATTCCCCATCATCATGTCTCCGACCACAGTGTAAATTCTGTACGACGAATTCAACTTGATCTCTGGGTTTTGCTATTTGCCAATGGTAGTCAGCCACTAGAAGGCTGGGGTGGTCTTCATGTTTATGCTGGGTTTTCTGGGCCCTCTCCCCAGTAGGCTGTTTCCAATCACAGGAGCCAAACCCACTGAGCTCAAGATCAAGGTCAAGGTCATTGTCTGGGTATGCCCAACACACTACTCTCTCTGAGTAGTCTCAGCTTGCTTCTATTAAATTTCAATGCCTCCAGTTCAAAAGAAAGGCCGAGTAGCCAGATGTGCAGCACACAGATTACAAACAGCTAAGGGTGTGATGGGCAGACCAACGCACCTGACATCAGCATGTCATCGATCACAAAACGTGACTCAGAAACAAGCCTAAAACGACCCGACTTCTGGGAGGTGCCTCGAGTTGGAAATGCCAATGCGACTCAAGAAAGAGAAAGTTCTTGCCTCACAGCTCAGTACCTTCGCCCTTCCCGAGGAGGGCTGTGTGCCCACAGGGTGTGCCTGGAAAGCCCCTGGGTTACCTGACTGTGCAGTGCTGCGTGGTGCTGTGCATAAAGTCAGAAGCAATGTGGAGAAGCAGGAGCCACGGCACCGTTTATGCACTTGAGACATTTGCCTCGGAGGGTAGTAAGAGCATGGAATGAAAGGTTCATGCAAGCCTTTGAGCAAAACAAACAAACAACACCGACAGAAAGACCCCCAACAGACCCCTGCCCCCACAAGGCACCACCCCCCACCTCCCCTCCCTCCACCCCGGGAGTTTTTCCTGTGGGCTTTGAAACCCCTCTGGTTTGGAAGGCCTGCAGGCTTTCGGTAGACATTCACCTGGTGGCTCAGGAAGACCAGAAACACTGTCATAGAAAGAGGCTCTCTGAATATTCTGAATCTCTAAAGCAGAGACACCGCAGAAACGGGGGCAGAAGAGCAGATACACAAACACTTCAGTTAGTGTGGGAGACATTCGACATTGCAAGCACAACTTTGACATCGGGCTTCCCGGGCAGCTCGTCCAGAGCAGACAGGAGCCCGTGCAAACATTACTGTTTTCATAGTGAGGCCGCCCATTTGAAGTCAGTTTAACCCAACTCCGCAGAGCTTATCCCCCAGCTGTGGGTGTGGGCGCTTCTCCCGTTACGTGGTGAGGGAAGGATGGCAGTTTTGGGGAACCAGGTCCAACTCCAGGAGTCACCTGGCAGTTAGCGAATCAGGACAAGGCCATGGCCAGTGAGGAGCAGTGTAAGCGGTGGGGGCTTTTGTACTAGCCGCTGTGGACATTGTACTTCCGATGCGGATTTCTGGAAGATGGTTTAACGTTTAAATACTGATTCCTGAAAAGACAGGTTCTTGGCTGTCAAGGAAAACCAAATTCCGTTCCGTTGCAGCAAAATGTTAAGCTCTGCAAGCCGAGAGCAAACGTGTGTGAGTTTGCCAGTCACACGTAAATAAGGTCAAATGGTGAGTTATAAACACTGCTCCCCAAGTTATCCCCAGAGACACATTGACATGAAAAGGCAATCTGTTTGGGTTCGCCCCCCACCCCCCCTTCAGTATGTAAACCCCAGTAAGTGGCAAGGAGGGACCCTGGGGAGAACATCCTTCAGGCAAAGGCAGAGGACTCTGACTCTCTAGGGCAGGGCTGCCACCAATAAGTCTCACTGCTCTGGGATTGGCCTGAAGCAAATTCTGCACAACCCTCCCGGAAGCTCCTGTTTTATTAACACACAAGGCTTTCCACCCCAAGCCTGGCGTCTAGGCAAGACGTATGTATGATGCTGGAATTGCGCATCATTTTCTTCTCGGGGATTTCCTTGGGTCTGAAACAGAGGCAACGACAATGTGTTCTGTTCAAGGTTATTTCCTTTGCTTAGAGAAGAACAGCCCCTCGTTCAGGTGAGCGCTACATCCTACGTAAGCCGTTCTCACCTGGGAACCCTCTTCCAAATTCTGGGCCTGTCAGTGATTTTTCTGGGTGACACACAGAGACCTGAACCCTGGACACCAGTGTCCCACCACCTCTCTGGAGGGTAAGTGGCATAGGCACCCACCGGGCTGCAGGACTTCCTGCTGATGGCAGCGTTGCCAGAACAGCTGAATCAAACCTGGGGTCTAGTAACAGTTTTCTTTGCTGTTCTGACAAAAACATGGCCAACCAGGCTCCCAATCTGGACACCTTTAGAAGTCAAGGGCTGCACGGTGGGCTGTGAGGCCAGCACACTGGGCCCCCGGGGGTGGAAAGAGCTCGTGTGGGGAAACAAGGCATGCCACAAGGCTGCCGGGCTTCCTCTGTACACGTAGACAACCCAAACAGAACATTCCCATGTCTACTGAACACAAGGCAGGAAGACGCAGTTAAAGAACCTCGGGGCATAGAAAACATTCTCCCTAGCCTGCCGATCCCACAAAGTAAATCTCATGCATCGTCATTCCTGATGTCTGGGGATAAAGACAGAGAATCAAAAGAAAATGGAAGGAGGGCGCTCTGGATGCTCAGACCTAGGACTGCCTGTCTGTCTGAGTGAGTGAGTGAGTGAGTAGATGTCCCAAATGCTCTTGGAGATGGCCTTGCAAGAAAGAATGGACAATCTACTTTGGAAACTCTGCCACTGAGATCCGTAACGTCCATGGGGCCGCTGAGACGCAGTGGTGACTGGCCACTCCCCACATGCCTGATTCTCTTATTCGGAGCACAGTGAGCGAAAGCCGGTTTTGAGGCATTCGCAGGAAAATGGAGTCCCTCCGTTAACTTGCCTTTGGCATTCTTCCCGTGCCGGCTGCACTTGTCTGTCAGCCTCCTCGCTGGCCTCCCCCCTTGCAGGTTCTCCCACTTTAATCCATCCTACAAGCCAGAGCCAGCTGCGCTTCTCCAAGTTCAACCGTGCTGCTGCTCTCCCGGCTCACAGGGCCTTACTGGAAGTCCAAAGCCACTGGAAAGTGGTGGTCTGAGTTCTCCAGAATCTGGTCTTAACCTTTGACCTCCACCATGCTCCCTACGAACCTTCCTGGACACCCCGGCCTAACTTGAAACGTAAAAATGGCCCCCTCGCACCCTGGCTTTCCCCCTTCCACGACGGGATCACCTCCTCCTCCCTGCCTCCCTGCCCTTTCTTCTCTCGATGCCAACCACGCTCAGGGACGCACCACCCTCCTCCTTAGTGGGCCCAGAAATCTACATCCCTAACTGCTTCAGGGGTGATGGTGACATCAACGTTTAAGAGTCAGCCCCCACAGCAGGGCCCGGCACCTAGCCAGTGCTCATCAAGGCTAGTTTCTGTTCTTCATCCAACAAAGCCTCCCTGGCACTCCCCTAGCCCCCAGAGAGGATGGCCCTGCCGCGTGCCCAGCCCTGGGGGCTGGTGCTGCACCATTCGCGTGGCACTGACCAGCAGTTTGTAGACACGTTTGCTCCCGCTCCTGGACTGGAAGGGGCATCGGGGCACCGCATAGGGCCCGATCCAGCCTTAATGGCCTGAGTTCCCAGAGGGATGCCCGCACTGGCTCTGGGCCGCCTTCTCCCCCCTTTCCTAGCATTTCCAGCTCCCCAGCGCTGGTCCCTGAACAACCTTTTTGTCTCTTTCCCCAGCTCAGGTCTCGGATTCTCAGATCTCATATTCTGACACAGCCCAGTGGCTGGGACAAGAGTTCTGGGCCTGCTCAGACACATGGGCTCCTGCTCCCTCCCCTTTCTAAGTCCCCGGGTCCCATCCATCAAGTGACTAGATTACTGCCTGATGCCACTCAGCCGCCAGCTGGAGATTTTCACTGAAAGCGGCCAAAGCGAACCCTTCTGTTTTCCTAGTGGAAGCCTAACCTCATGAACAAGTGCCCCTCAAGCACCGTCTCTTCCTGGGCACCTGTCCGCTCTGCAAAGGCACCCTAAACACTTCCTTCAGCTGATGAAATGAAGGCCCTGCCCCGACTCTCTTCCTCTCTGCCCTCTGGCTCCAACTGCCCTTGCACCCCCAGCCCCCCCACCCTGCTTCCCTACTTCCCGTGTCTCATCTCCTTCTAAGAAGACGGCCAGGTCACAGTCTATATTACAGGTGCGGGCGGACTAGAAAAGGCAGGCGAGAGCCAGGTCGAGGGCCGAGGTCCTGCCCGGCCAGAACCCAGCAAAGGAAGGACAGAAAGCCAGGATGACAGGCAGCGAGGAGAGCCCGGTGCTAATAGAAGATACTGGTTCCCATCAGCCATAAAGCCACGCAGACGGTTGGTGTTGATTGGGGGTATTTGTGAAACCTGCTGAGGATACGATCACGATGTTGACTGGGTTTCAGGTAAACACAAGAACAACGAGGGCTGACGGGAATAAAAACAACTGCTCCGTGTGCCAGGAGTTTCGCGTTTATCCCCCAGCTTGTGTGTGTGCGCGCGCGCGCCCGCATCACAGGTGGAAGACACAGCCTGGTGAGAAAATGTCCATGTAACAGGGCCTCGGGGTTTTGGCCTCCCAGGACCCTGGAAAATGGGGGCATCCTCGAAGGCCCTGACCTAGCAATGTCCCCCCCTCTCCCCTCAGCAACTGAGCAAGAAGGCAAATGCTTTCTTAACGTAAGAATACTTAAAATGGATAAAAACTCCAATATAACGGCAGCCCTGCTCTAGGGAAAGAGAACATTTTAAAGCAAGATACATACACATGCATCTGTGTGTAAAAGACCCAAACGTAAACTTCCAGAGTGGCTGGGAAAGACTCTGGGGCCAGGTTTAATGACAACCAGGAGCACGCTCTCACCGTCTTTCCAGAGCTCGGCCACAAATCTGTCTGAGGACTGGTGCAGAAGGGTGGCCACGTTGTCATTCAGGGGGTCCATGTTCTTCATCAGCCACTCGTCGGCCTTGTAGTCCACCTGCCGCCGCGAGGGGTGGATTGGGGGGGAAGGGGGGGGGATACAAAGAAAGAACAAGAAGACTCGGTCCAGCTTTAACGTAAATGCTCAGGCCCGTCCAAACAAAGGGGTCTGATGCCCAGGCAGGCCTCAAGGGCTTACAAGCATGCGCATCCAGTCAGTTCAGCACAAGGCCTCTCACCTTCCCCGCGTAGTGTATGATGCAAAAGTCAGCTTTGTCTTTCAGCTGCCGGGGCTTCTGGAATTTGGAGTGAGAGCCTTGCTCCTGAACCAGCTTCTCCACGAAGGTCTTATCGGTGGCTTTGGGGAACCAACACTCTTCGTCCAGCAGGGCCAGCACCCCAGGAGGGTTCGCCTGGCAGGGAGAGGGGGTGGAGCTGACGCGGTGTGTGTGACAGGCCACGTTGCACGCACAACATGTGCATCGCATTTGGAGGTTGACTGTCCAACACCAGTGGAGTTCTATGAGAATCTGGGGGCGGAGTGAGGGGTATTAAAGGGGTAGTGGGGGTACCTAGGATAAAAGGTGTGTCTAACAAGTGTGTCAATCAAAATGCTGAGCTCTCAGGCTGTACGTAAGTACTGGTAAGAAGATGGACAGGCAACCTCTCGTACAAATGCAAATTCCAAGTAAATCCCCGCCCCCTTCCCACCAAAGCAACAAATAAGGAAGGGCGGCGAGAAACTGTGGGGCGAGGGGGGCAGGAAAGATGGGCTAGCTATAGCCTCCCCACATCTCAACTAGCTGGAGAGCTCTGGTCACGTGTGGTTTCGGTTTAGGGCAAGAAGATGCCACCTAGCAAGCATGTCACACTTGGGAAGGATTTGAGGCTATCAGTGGGCAGTGCAGATGGGAGAAGACAGAACCGGTCATCAGTCACTGTTTTTCTACACTCATCTCCTGGAGCAAACGGCTCTGCTAGCCAAGCCCATAGACCCCCCCCAAGGCTGAGAGCAGGTGAGGGGTGCCCAGGGACGGGTGGGCCAGGGGTGGAGGCCCGACGAGGAGGGACTGCTAATGGGCACAGGGTGAGAAACATTGGAATTTGGTAGCAGTGATGGCTGGCCAAGTTTGGGAGTACCCCAACTGGTGCCCACTGTAACCACAGGGCTGGCACGCCATGTGGCGTGACCAAGGGTGCCATTTTCGGGGAGCGCCGCTAAGGGGCCCAGCGACGGTACACTGAGGGAGCTGCAGTGCAGGACTTGAATCGGCCGGTCGGCTATGAGCCCTTGAATGTGGAACTGTGATCTCGTCTGTCAACCTTCACACAAGAAGCTCAAGCTAAAAGAGTCTATGGATGATGCTCTTGTGCAGGGAAGCAGGACAGACAGAAAAACTACACGTCGTCCTTGACTTGCAAGGACTTGGTCTGACCTCGTTCGCCCTGTATGACCAAGCTGCCAATGTGATGCTGGTGAGACGCAGCAGAACTTTACTAGAGCATCCCCACAAGACCACGGCTTTTCTATTTACTGCAGAAGAGCTATCTGTACACAAGCACTGTTTGTAAAGCACAGCTGGAAGCGACGGAGTACAAGTGAAACAATGCAGTGAGCAGTCAGAGGAAGGTGCGGGTCCAGACGGCTGGCTGGGCAGACCCGAGAACATCCTCACGTCTGGCCCATTCCTCCATGACTGTGCTGGTCTGTGGCCGCTCCACCTGCCCACCTGGAGGAACCCAGAGCAGCTGAAAGAGCACTCCTGTAAAGGCCTCCGAGACTGGGCCTTTTTAACAGGCCGGGAGGGGGTTCAGAGCGGCAGCTAGCTCAACATGCCCCACCCATCTGACCACTTTGAGATAAAATGAAGCTTCATGTTAGGATCATGGAAAAGCATCTTTCTACCGTCATTTGTTTACTCTTTAAATTCCTTTGAGTAAACATGAAATCCTGGAATAGATCTCAGACACGATGTAATCGTTTCTAAAATGACTCCATGAGAGTTGGGAATGTAAGTGAGGGCTGGGATTCCGGGTTCCAGGAACACATGTGCACACGTGTCTGTACCCGGGACACGGCTGCCCCAGGGAAGGGCTGTCATCTCATCCAAGCACCGCCGTCCTAGGCCCTTTAGATGAGAAAACTGTCCCGACACTGGCTGGCCAAGATCATTTCTGTCTGGAATTCTGCCAGGAAATACGTCCTGGCCGCCGGTGGGCCGTGGCCGGCAAGCCCGGGGGTGCCTGACTGCTTACGGGTCTCTCGATGAGGTCGATGCAGGGCTGCAGGTCGAGGCCGAAGTCGATGAAGTTCCACTCGATGCCCTCGCGCTGGTACTCCTCCTGCTCCAGCACGAACATGGTGTGGTTGAAGAGCTGCTGCAGCTTCTCGTTGGTGTAGTTGATGCACAGCTGCTCGAAGGAGTTCAGCTGCAGGACGCGCAGTCCAAATTGGGAGGGTGGGGGTAGAGGGGAGGAAAAACCGTCAGCTCGCTATCCCAAAAGTTCGTTAAGCATTATTGATTAGGTGCCCACTGCATCATCGTGTCTATCTAACGTAGGCACTAAACCAAGGGCCTGAGTCTGCCCAAGGCACCCGCCCCTACCATACACATACGAGGCTTTTGTGAAAAGGTAAAAAATAATATATCATGGCCACATGGTATTATTGACTTGCTAAGATGAGAAAAGAATTAATTTATGCTAAATGAATAATCTACAAATGAAACTTTAATCAAGTGCTAAGAGTGAATGGTTAAGAAACAGAAATGAGAGTAGATTAAAAAAACACAAAAACAAAAGAGGCAGAGAGGGAGGGGAGCGCAGAGGCAGCAGGGTGGGCTTGGGCGACACTCCACACTGTGCGGGGTCTGCAGACCCAGCTGGCACCGATCCACCCTTCAGACAGGCTGCTAATCTTTTACTTGTTTTGGAGAGCCCAGCCTGACACACAGGCTGCAGGTGGTTAAGTGAGGTTACTGGCGGCTTTGCTAAATGCTTTTCTTGACCTTTGGCACTAGCTCACAAGGTGACCTTGAGCATCTCAGGCACTTCTGTGAGCGCTCCCTGTTCGTCTGGTGTGACGCTGACTGGATGCACGGATGGCTGAATGAACAGGTACGAATTTCTCCCAAGCACCATCTCATCGATTACCATGACCCCTTTTCAGTTCCGTGCTGTTCATATGACCAGCCGGTGCCTGCAGATAACCTCGTTCAGTACGAAAACGTTTTCAATTAGGGAGGGCTTCATCAATCAAGGAGGAGACTGGTTGCCTGAAAAAAGCCACTCAATAATCTTCCACACTCCCGTGGGGACGTCACAGTCCCTACTGCAGCTGAGGTCCTGCTAGGCAGACAGGGCTGTTTGCCCTCCTTGGCCCTGCCCTTCTAGTGAGGGTCACATCAGGAGCCAGAGAGGTATTCCCAACCAACCAGGTGTGCTTATTCAGGGTCTCGTTTCTATGAATGGAACGTGCAATTCCTTAAGAGAAGGCTGTCTTACCCGTCGAGCCTGGTGACTACATCACATGACATTACCCACACACATTCTACCTGTCTTCCATATTTAGGAGGCCGGCAATGGTATTTTAAAACAGGTGGCATTTAAGCTGGCCACACAGGGTATAAAACTCGAAACGTGTACGCAGAGGTGAGCTGGAATGAGGAGCCTCACTCAGGCCCTCACTTGCTCTCCTCAATGTCAATCCCTGGCACCTACTTCTTCCAGAAACACTCCACGCACCGACTGCCCGTGTGTGTACACACTGTTGCTCCGACTAACTGCCCACGGGTTTTCTCGCCTTTCCTCTTTATGGAAGCAGATCGATAGGTTTCCTCCCAAAGGGTCATTCGAGTGCTTGGATCATTGTGCCACCAGGCACCTGAATAACAGCTTGGATTTTTTTTGTAATCAAACAACGTCACTGGAAGACTTTCCATAAATACATAAAGCCATCTCAGTGCTTTACTTGGAAGCACAATATCCTACCGTATGGAAATATTGTTAATTGGCCAACCTCCTCCCCAAGCCAAAACTGTTGAGCTCGAGTTGGTTCCCATTTACAGTGACAAGGACAGAGTAGAACTGTCCCCAGGGCTCCACGGCTGTCACCTTGCAGAAGCCGACGGCCACCTCCTTCTCCCGGGGTGGCTGGTAGGCTTGAGCTGCCAACGTTGTCGTTCGGAGCTGAGGGCTTAGGCCACGCACCACCAGGACTCCGCACCCACTTCCTACTAGTGGACATTTGGTTTGTACTCATGACGTGTAATGCTCTACAATCACCTGGCGTTTCCAGCAGTGTACGCAGATTCCTGCTGGGTGCTCACACCCGCTCCTCACTTACTGACACGGCCAGGTTCCAAAGGCTAGGCCAAACCCGGCAATATGGGAAAAGGAGGGATACGGCTAAATGCCATCATTACAAAACTGCCAAACCACGGAGGGTCGAAGTCCAGCCAAGCTGATACAGGACCTTAACCGTCACAGCCAGTGTTGCTCTGGCCTGGCAATTTGGCATTTACCACTGCTAAATATACACTATTCATGTGCAGAATAAGTTAAACATTAGAGCTGCTTTCCCCCCTTTTCCACTGTTATCAGAAAAGTGTGACGTGTCTGAGCAAGAGTGACTGGAAGTTCATGTGTCAGAACCACACTTCCTTTACAATGCTTTGGTTAGTGCCTTCCAAAAACATTTCAGGAGCCGGGTGATCAGTGGAGGGAAATGCTTACACCAGAGTAAACAGTAAAAATTTATGAGGACAGAGCTGTAGCTTTAAATGGGTTCACTTTAAAAACAAGACAATTCAGTGCGTGGTAATCTCTGGAAGTACTGACCTTGGTTTTTAAGGCTGAATGGAACAGTCTGTCTCTCAAAGGAGAGAAGATACACATTTTTATGAGACCGCTGATCTGTAACTGTGTGACCTGTGCTGTGATTTACACCGGTGGCGGTTACGTGTTTGGGGAAATCCATTCAAATCGACAGGAAGACATAGTGAAATGCACCCTATCAACTCCTACCGGTTAGACCTCGTCAGGGCGTAGATGACTGTTTTTCCACAGGTATCCATCTCAAACCCCCTGATTCTCCAGCCCTGCCACGGTCGTGTTGTCCCTGGTCTGCAATGGCCCCACAAGGATCTCCCACTTCTCCCTGTGCCCCACCAGCCCCACAAAACTCACACACACAGGACCGCTGGACTTGCTCTGTGTGAGGGACACGTGTGGGTGGGCGGCTTCTCGTACATCAGGCGTGCCCCACGACAATCTTGCAGAGCAGCCTTCTACTTACAGGCTGCCTCACGTGGGTCTCCCTACCTCTTTTCATCACACCGTCTATTTCCTGCAGTTCACAAAGCTGCGGATTTAGTCCTTTTCGGTGTTTGAAAGAACCATCATCCCCTATGTGCCTGGTGCCCAGCACTGTGTCTGCCGCACAGTGAGCTTTAGTAAGTGGGCGTGAAAAGCATCAACAGAAGGGACAGACGTTAAGACAAGGAGGAAGGGCGGGAAGGAGGGAGGCAAAGAAAGGGATCAGGAAACGAATACCTCAAAGATTTCAAATCCAGCAATGTCCAGGATCCCGATGAAAGATGCCCCCTGGCGCTTGGTCCTGTCCAGGGCTTTATTAATCCGGTGAACGAGCCAGCGGAAGAGTCGCTCGTAGGTCGCTTTAGCCAGTGCTTCTACTGCAAAGTCTGCCTGCAACGACAACACGCACCCTTCATTCCGGAGATAATCTCAATAATGCTTTCTCCACCTCTCGTGGGTGGTGGTGGTGGTGGTGGTCTAATAGCAAACTAAACCCCCCTGAAAGTAACCATGACTATTTAATCATCTCAGTTTTACACATCAACTGAGGGCGATAGTAATAGAATTAAACAGTAATTTAGGAGATGGGTCAAGGTGTGCGGGAGATCAACTCCTCCCTGGGTTTCTAGGTAGCATGAATGTATGTGCATTCTGGGATGCTTTGAGCCATTTCAGCCAGGTGATACTTCGTCACACAAGACTCACTCCCCAATGTTCTTCATGGAAGCTACTAAGGTAGTTACGGTAGTGGGGCAGTAAATGGGTAACTAAGAACCCAGCAGCCTTGTCACAAGCCCACCCACCACAGGGACCAGGTAGCAGGGCCTGTCTCTACCGGGCTGACTCTGAAGCCCAGAGATGTCCGACTGGGTTTCCACCCATCGATCACCTAGGGACAGTGGGTGAAGGTATTCCAATGGAAAGGTAAGTCCAGAAAATATACTGACTTGTACAGGCCAAGAAAGATCCACCTGAGCACCTTTCTGACCGACTCAGTTTCTCACACCTCAATCAGAAGGTCATCCGTTCAAACAAACCCGCCAGGGCATTGACTATCCCGCTTACTTGCTCTTTGGTCTGGGCTTTCTGCACGTAGTCTCGGCCGACCTTGATCCGGGGGGTGAGGATGGCCCGGGTGAACTCCATCACGTTCATCCCCAGCAGGTGGCACAGCTTCTGCGCAACTGAATTTGGGGAGTCTGTTGGTGTGCCACGCCCAGGAGCCTGCTCGTGGCCCGTCACTACATACTCGGTCCCCGCCTTGAACGAAGAACTGGCACAGGCATCAGATCATACACCAAGCGACTAAACACCTTCCAAGCTTTACGTCTGACGAGGATGCCTGCATCCGTTCAACAAGGCACTCGTCCTTACAGGGGGAGAGATGGCTAGCTGTCATTTAATTATCCTGGAGAATTGAGCATAAATTATTGTGTTTTAGAACCCAAAGACACTGGGCAGAATGAAGGGAAAAAAGGCTTAGAATTGTTGAACTCATCCCTTGGCCTTTGGCCAGTGATCAAACATAAACCTGTTTAAACACCTCAAAGCACAGGTGAACCTGAAGGACACTGTGTTGAGGGAAAGAAGTCACACACACACACACACACACACACACACACACACACACACACACACAACACAGCCCAGTCTCGCATTTATGAAATGACATCACAGCCAAATATGTGTAACAGAAACGCATGTTCATTAGTGGCTACGAGGGAGTGGTTACGTTGGGGAGGGATTTGGTCTCTAGATAGTAGACACTTGCTATTTTGGGGGATGTAAAAGGTGACACGGAATGTGGGCACAACCGAAAGTGCACACAACTAAACAAAAGTAAACAACGTCCCTAAAACGTGCACAAGGGAAAAAGACATTTTAACAATTGCTACGGTATAGGTCATTGTGAAACAGCAACAACTAGTCTGGGGTCTTAGAAGCTCGCAAACGCCGTGTCAGATACAATGATTGGCCTCTACTTGTCTGGACGCAAAGAGAAAGCAGGGCACCAACAGGACCAACCGCCCACAAGAAGCAGTCGGACCTCCCGAGACTGCAGAATCAGGGTTCCTGGTAGCAGGTCAGAGTGCTAGAATGCAGGTCCTTCAAAGAAGGGCTGGGGTAGGCTACATTTCTAATTTAATTTTAAGATGCCTTTATTTAATCAAAACTTAACGATAATAACCCAGTGTGTGCTTGCTGTTGGGCCTTGCGGACACTAGACAGTGCATTTCTTGTCAGCTGACCACCCTGAGGAGAACCGGTCAAATCTTACAGCCAATGGAGCGCTTTGTGGTAGACACAGAGGAGCATAATGGTAGACACTGGTGGTAGAATGGTTATGTGCTGGGCTGCTAACCCCCCAAGGCCAGCAGTTCAAAAGCACCAGCTGCTCCCTGGGAGAAAGATGAGGCATTCGGCCCCTGCAGTTGTACAGCCTCAGAAAGCCACAGGGGCAGTCAGGCCATCTTACAGGGCAGACAGCGTAGGGCCGACGTGATGGTGGTGAGGAGTCTGGCTCTACGGCAAACATACAGAGGTCTCCTCTCGCTGCTCTCTGTCGGCTGACCGCTAAGGTTCTGGCTCCCTTTGAGGTCACCCGGGTGTGTGTTTGTGTCTGTGTGATGGGAGCCGGAGCGTCGGTGAAGTCCCTCTGAGTGTGCGATCACAGAGGCAGATGTAGCCACTTACAAGGTCACGTGATCTCCCTTTTGACCCATTTTAGTGCAGTTTCAGTTTTTAATATTGTCTGCCTTCTTTCTGATTGAGGTTTTCCGTTTTGTCTACTCATCATTGTTGTTTTGTAAATGGTTGTTTACTTCCTGTTTGTGTTTTATGATTGTCTGCATATGAACTCCAGGATAGGTTTGCTAGAGATACTAATAATTACCCAGAGGCTTGGCAGGGAAGACTGGGGGGTGAGGGGGGAACAGGAAGCTCGTAACAGAGAGTACGAGAAGAGACTGCTCTGAAATCGGTTGTGGCGACGACTGTGTAACTCTTCTTCCTACGACTGAATGATTAAACAGCACGTGTGAAGTCTGTGCCCATAAACAATTTAAAAGAAAAGAAAACGCAGCTAGTTCACATCCCCGTATTTTCATCACGATCACCATCACGTTGGCAGCCAACACACTTAGGTCTTGGTTTACTCCATTCCTTTGGCTACTCTCAGGCACCTTGACAATAGGGAGCCTGGTGGTGCCAGTGAAGCATCTGGCTGCTAATCAAGAGGTTAGCTTGACCCATCCCGCTGTTCCTTGGGAGAGAGGCCTGGCAAACTTCCGTAAAGATCAGGGCTTAGAAAACCCCCAGGCAGCTCGTGCTGTCACATGGAGAAGAAATGGGCTTGACAGCAGAGAACTCCGGCACCTCATGATGAATGGAGAAACCCCTCAGGCGCCGCCACAGCCAAGTGATCAAAGCCAACATCACCAGTAACAAACCGGTCACCACCATCCGCCTCCCGGTGCAATGCACCAAGGACACAACACAGCCTCCCTTCTGTGAGATTCGTTCCCCAAACTCACAACCTGAGTTTAACCAAGAGAGACGCAAGACAGATGCAAACTGAGGGACTGGGTACAGACTAACTGGTCAGTATTCTTCAAATGCATCAAGGCCACGGATGACCAGGGCAGCAGCCAATGAAAGGAAGCACAAGGCGTGACCCTGGACCAGCAATGGGGCACTGGTGAGAGCTGACAGGACCTGAACAAGATCTGTGGACGAGTCGGTCCTTCCTCACTGGCGGCTCCACCCATGTCCCCGCAGATCTGGGCTCCGTAGGGTTTTCAGTGACTGACCCATGGAGGCAGACTGCCAAGCCTGCCTTTCTTCCCAGGCATCGACGGGTGAACACACGAACCATTTCCACCACCCAGAAGCAGGTCACCTGGTGGGCTTCACGTTAGGACGCGAACTGCCAGGTCATCAGAGACCACCAGCCTCCAGTCTCAGACACCACCCTCGGGCTCCTTTTGAGTCAGAATCCACTTGATGGCAGGGGGGTTGGAGTTTGGGGGAGGGGCCGATAATAAACTGTATATACCACTACTCGAGTAATCTGATCGATGTCAATAAAAATAATTTCCTGATTCTGATCACCGCCCTGGGGCGATGCAGACTGTCAAGAGCTCGGGGTGTGAAAGATGCGTGTGAAAACGATGTGCTAAGATTTGCAAGTTTTCTCTAAGCCTGGAAATTATATATATATATTGGTATAAGCAATCTTTCTTTAAAAAACGTGCTGCTCAAAAACATTTGGAGGACTCGTCTGTAGAGACCCGAGTCCCACGAAGGTGACTTTTTAACAATGTCATAATTGCATAACTTTCCACTTTTCAAGGGCTGTTACCCTATTACCTGACAGGCAGGTTTGAGAAAACCAAGTCTAGCTTAGAAGATCCTAATTGGTCAATCTAGCTCTGAAGGCAGTTCTGAAACTCTGAAGGGAGGATTTAAAAGTACTTCAGCATTGCTGAGAGACACATCACCGACCCGGCTGAGATCCTGACTGGGCTGGGTCCCCACGTCACTCACTGGACATGCTCCTCTGTCCCCCGACAGCCTGCAGGCCGGTCGCGGAGCTGGAAGGCTGCTTGCTGACTTTTAATTTTGTTTCTATGGCAACAATAAGGACCCTGACCTTCTAATGCGACTGGACTCTTAGGATTTCTGGTTAAAACTTAGCGACATTCAAATCGCCAGGTATCTGAAAGTCCAGTATGGAAACTGCTTTTCCTCGGCTCTAGTATATTTGTATGTGAGCCGGACTTGTGACTCGGTGTACTTTTGATGCTACGAGTTAACAGCTATTTGCTGTATTTACTCCATAACTCCATCACGCAGTGTGTGTGCTGGGGGAGAAGGGTATTGATATGTTCATAAAGAAGAAAGATAATTCCTTTCAAACTACGGTTTGTAGGCCACACCTTTGTTTTACAGTGAAGGCCGGGGAAGACTACTGCATAATTAAACACTAAAAGCATATTAACGGAGAGCTCTGATAAGAGATAGAAAATAGTACCAACCATGCACACCAAACCCACTACGAGTTCATGCCAACTCACAGCGACCGGTCACACACAGGACAACAGAGGCTTTGTCAGTCTGGACAGGGGCAAACAGCCTCCTCTTTCTCCCCTGGAGCAGCCGGGGGGTTTGAAGGACCAACCTTGTAGTTAGCAGTCCATAACTTACAGAAAGTAGTAATAGGATGTTTTTTTGGTTTGTTTGTTTTGTTTTTAAAATAAAGGCCAAATGCACAGGTCAACTACTGGCCCTTCTTTCGATCCGGAGTCATGTAACTAAAAGGTCTGGTATTTGCTTCAAAATGAGCCAGAAAGGGGAGTGGGCAGCAGGCCAATGAAGCTCCCGGGTCTGAAGTACGAGCGTGTGGACACCTCTCGTCTCCTATGAGACTCACATGCTCTGTCACTGAAAAGGTCCTGATGTGATAAGCACAGGTGACAGGATAGTCTTACCTTGTACAGGTAATAATTCGGGAAGAGTTATCTACAGCCAGCTGTCATCTTCGTAAAGCCTCCCAAGTAAGAAGCAGGAAGGCTTACTTCTATTCGAAACAATGACACTGAAGCAATTTTAATGGATTCCTTTCAACAACGGTTTCATTCCAGTGGGATTTGCTAACGAGAAAAATGCCTGGAATACCTTTCCACATGCTGTTTTCCTTTGCGCTTAGGAATATTTTTCTTTAAAGAAAAGATAAGAGGGAGGAAATAGCCCTTAGCACGAGATGGTCAGATTTTCAGGGACGTTTTCAAATGCCACAGTCCATAAAACCATAGGAAAAAGCAACAAATAGAGCCAACCACTGCCATCGAGATGATTCTGACTCACAGTGACACCGTCGGACCCAACAGAAGGGCTCCCTGGGGTGTCCTCAACTTTACCTCTGATGGGAGGAAACCGCAGCCTCTTTCTCCCAGAGGGAAGCTGGGGGGGAGGGGGGTTTGAACTGCTGATTAGCAGTTTGAACCTCTTAACCCACTGCCACGAATTGAGGGCACTTAAACCAGAAGAAGGCCAACCACGGCATGTTACGAGCTGCTTAAAGAAAAGCAAGGTCACAGATCTCTTTACAGAAGCCGCGCATCTGCCCGCCTCGTCTGTGAGAAGAGGGCCCCCGTCACCTCGCTCTCCGGGCCACTGCGAGATTTCAGCGTGCAGCTACATGACACTGCCGCACTCTTCTTTCTTGCTCACACTTTCCGGTTTCAAGTCTCATTGGACAAAGCAAGAGTGACGGGGGGGGGAAGCAAGGCAGCCCCAGTCACCCACACGCCTGTGACTAAACGGTACGCCTCCTGGTCCCGGACATCACAAGGGTGGTCAGGAAAGATAGGACGACATGTCCAGGGCTCATTAGTCCCTTCCCACATGTACACCGAATCAGGTGGCTAACAAGCCTCAAACTGCTTACAGGCAAGGACCTGCAGGGGTCCTTAGTGCGTTAATCTATGCCACCTTCCCTGGCCATGGGGGCCTGTGGGTGTTCGTGTGCATCATGATAACGCATTCAGGGAGCTGAGCGTCAACTGATAAGCAAACAGCTCATTAGCCCCCCCCCCCCATCCCCCAATGGCTACCAAGGGCTCAAGTAGAAAGAGAATGTTTTGAGCATGATGATGGCAACAAATGTGCTTGAGAGAATGGATGTATCTATGGATTGTGATAAGAGTTGTACTAGCCCCCAATATAATGATTTTTTTTTTTAAGTTTAAGATTTCATATTAAAATCTTATTTCCATTTTCCCTTTGAAAAGTCCATTTTAATTAGCAACACCGGGCCAATTCTGGCTGAAATGTGGCTAGAACTCAGCGGGCAGCAATGCTGCATGGTCTCCTGGGACCCAAGTCCTCCCGGTGGGTGCCTGCTGCCGGTGCCGAATTGCTGGCCCTTAGCTGGGCGTGTGGGCTCCCCTCCTGGCTCACCGTCGTTTGGAAACGCCTTAGGGAGTGCACTTATGTTTGCACTGGAGCATCCGTTTGGCGAACGTAACAGAGAACCATCTAAGTAGAAATAGAACCAGTCTTCATCGGCTTACCTGTGTTTTCCGGCATGGAGGCTTGATCAGTGTTCCTCTCCTTTTTGAAGGAAATATTTCCGAATTGCAGCACAGAAGAAACGACCTTGAGCATTGCTTCATATTGATACGAAGGGGGGAAAAGTAAAAAGATTAGACCAACAGGCAGCAGGCATGTACCCTAATTTATTTCCTGCTGTGAGTCAGCTGCACGGAGCCACTCCGGGAAGCCTGTCTGGGATCTCAGGAGCGTCCGAGGCGGTTCTCGCTATTTTCCCAGTGGGAACAGTGAGCAGCTTACACAGAATCTCTTCGTGGGAGAAGCCCATGATGTGCATTGCTTCCATCGTTTCCTGGAAGTTGTCCTTGTCTTGCTGTCCCGGAATAGGGATGTAGCCGTTGGAGAGAAATCTGTAGTTGTTGAACCCCTCAAGAAGCAAATCAGCTGAAGGGAAAAAAGGGGATAGCGAGATTTAATCAACACCCACATCCGGCATTTACACTGCACCGCTGTCGAGGTGAACAGAGGCTCACATTCAGACCACCACCACACACCTCGCGCCTTTAGATCTCCCCGTAGATACACAAACGCACACGTCTTTTCATCACCTGTGCCCATGCGGTAACATGGAGATTCAGGCCAGGTGGAACTCTCAAGAGGTTAGGGGCTGGTAATTTTGACAGCATTTGTTTTTGAAACATGAGAGTTGTCAACTCTTCAGGTGACTGAGCTTTATCGTTTCTAGATGGACATACTTGAGCCGGCTTTGAACTTGCATACCTTAGCAAGGCATTTCTAGCCGTAAGGCGATGCAAGATAAAACACAGATGTAGAAGGTGTCAAGATGACAGTAAGCCCAGCAAACGCCCTGATACATGCTGTGGTTCATTTGCCTTTCAGAGGGATGTGCAGCCTCTATCCCCTGCCTGGCTATGATAACGGGCACCCTCAGCGGTGACTTGCAGAGGCCAGTCAATCAGAGAGAACTTACCTTCCTCGTTCAAGACAGGAGCGCAGAGAGGCGGTCTCAGGAGCAACCCAAACGACAGTGCTCTTTACCCTTCTAACCCTGCTGACGCAGGGCGCCCTGCTCTAACTCTCCTGCCGAGAACGTCTGTCCTATCCGCGTCATCCCTGCCCCTGTGCGAGGACGGACAGTCTGCTCTCAGCAAGCACCGTGGCCGTGGCTTTGCTTTCAACGTGCGACTGAACACTGCACACTCACTGCCGCGCAGGCCATCACCGTACCATCTAGCATCTGGGGCCTCTCCAAGACAGGACTTCATCTTCCTTGTAGCCTTTCCCTCATTCGTTTCTAGTTTCAATGCTTTCACACCTGCCTGCGGTTACCCAGAGCCAAGGGCTCACAAGAGCAAAGTATTACTACTGTGCACTGTCTGCTCTGACACCAGGCAGTGTAGGTACTAACTCAGTGGTACATCTTCTCTTCCTTTCGGTCAGAAACTACGAGCCAGAGATCGACGTTTTCCCCTGGCCAGGCTGAGGCCTGCAGTCCTTATGGCTAAGGCCACAAAGCAAACAACTCGAGTGGTTTGTGGTCACAATTGTACAGTTCCCGATATGACTGGACCAGGGCATGACGTGCGGGTTAGAGCCCAAGAAAATGGTTTAAAAACACCAATGAAAACTCCACACACCTTACGTTCTACTGTAAATATAGATGTAAATGAACAAAGATAATTCACTTCTGTTTATGAGGCATATATTTTTCTTTTATATTCTTAAGTGTGGAGACATAACTAGCTAAAAACCCATCTTCACGTACCTTATCATTTAAAAACTGGAAGCAGCACATATAAAAGGCCGTTTCACACCGCTCAGATACTAGACATGCCATACCACAGAGCGCCATCCCTTGACAGGGACCTTCATGTTCACACTCTAACCGGTTACAGTCTGAGGAGTGTGTCAAATTACTGTCCCATGAAACCCCTCTTAAAGGGAAAAACAAAAGCTACAACAATGTATGTCAGAGGGAATATGACCGTATAGCACAGCAGAAACGTGCCTTTCAAGTGTTCCCCGGCCCCGGCCAGCAGCTGGTAAAAGAGATGAAACGTGCGTTCGTCCTTGGCCTGGCGGACAGCCCGAGACTTTTCCAGAAGGTCTGAGGAGCGTGGATTAAGGCTTACATAATGTGATCGGGGGTCTTCGTTCAATGAACACACACACTGAAATTCACACAAGATCCTCTTGTGCTGACATGGATCAGCTATCCTGCAACGAACCCATCGAATTGGTTGCCCTTTGTGTGTGGGGCGTGGAGGGTGGTATGGAAGTGGGAGGAAATTCTACCATATGTCCTGGACTAGAAGGGCATTGAGGGTTATTTATTGGGTGCATCCCTACCCTGCCTCAACCCCAACTTGGTGGATTTACATCGATACACCAACATACCAAAACACTGTAGTTGGAACTTTCAGAAAATATTAAAAATGAAATACAGTTGCTTAAGACAGGGGAAGCCTCGTCTTAACGAGGCACACAAAACAAAATAACCGAATCCAATGACCGCGGCTGTGAGTGCCAAGAGCCCTGGCGGCGGAGTGGTCAGGTGCTGGGTTGTGACCTGGAAGGCCAGCAGTCTGAAGCCACCAGCCGCTCCTCGGGAGAAACACAGGGCTTTCTGTGCCCGCGAACTCACGGGGGCACTCCGCCCTGCCCTACAGGGTCGCCATGCGTCACCATTGTTTCAATGGCAGTGTGGCTCTGGAGCTAGGGGGAGATCTAGAAACGAAACGTAATCCGACTCAGAATGCCTGTGCTAAATAAATTAAGTTCACCACCTCATTGTCAATGTCCAAATCCTGCCATGATGAATTGACCTAAGTCAGAATCCACTCAAGAGCAGCAGGTTGCTTGTTTGTTGGGGGGTGGCTTGCCATAATTAGAAACCACTGACCTTCCCCACCCATGCTCTGGAGAACCCGTTTTAAAAACAAAACAAAAATCCAAAGTCACTGCCATCGAGCTGATTCCAATGAAGAGACCCTATAGGATGGGGTGGAACTGCCCCTGCGAGATTCTGAGGCTGTTTTGACTCTTCATGGGAGTAAAAGCTTCGTCTGGTGATTTCGAACTCCTGACCTCACGGTTGGCAGCCCAATGAGGAATCACTATGCCACCAGGGAGCCAGGAAGCCCTAGAGCTGTGCTGCTGACACTGGGCTTCCTCTACGAGAGCAGCCGCGTCTCTCATCGGCTCCCAGGTCCCGGGGTGCCTGCGCACGTGACTGTCTGTGATGCTCTCTGCCATCGGTTGGTGTGGGAGGTGCCCGTGCACACTTAGATACACACATGCAGTGTCTCTGGGCTGACAGTCCCACAGAATCTCAGTCGGACAGCCTGGCGTATGACTGCCTGTTCTCTGGTAAATCTTCCTGGAGGCACACACGTGACCTCAATCTGTGTGTACCACACGCTCCTGTTTTAGATCAGATACATCCCTAACACACCGTCCACATCGGGGAAACACAGTCACAGGTACGATCCTTGAAAGGACCAAGACATGAAAGCTAAACTTCACACTCACTGCAGTCTTCTACGTTTTTCTGGTGTCCTGTGCAGGAAGGACATAATCCAATCACGGTCCAAATCAACAAGGCGCCTTTGCTCTGTCTCTCACCTGGATCGACATCCTTCTGAGAAACGAGCAGCGTGTACTGTCATTGGAGGCTATTCTAACAAGTATCGGAGAATCATCATCGTCCGTCTCACTCTCTCTCTGCTAATCTTATTGTTCAGAGTCACATTTGCTTCCTATCTCCCTACACACAGGGCGGCCATTAGTTGGAAGCAATTTGGCAAGAACAGGCGTAGGTTGTTTATTATTAAGGGCATCGTTTCTTAAGGTGATTGCTCATCTGTGACGTGTCTGCGGATGATTTACAGATTTGACTGTTTATATGTGCCTCTAGTTTTATTCTGCTGAAAAGTAACGGAATGACTCAGCTCTGTACTTCTATGAAGTTTGTTTCAATGGGCACATATCTGCTCTAATTTAGATTTTTTTAAAAAAAGAGGTTTAAAAAGGGTGGAGGGTGAGGAGGGTTGGGACAGGTGGACAGGAGTGAGGTTACCTCGAGCATGAGAGCAGGACACAGATCACAACAAGGGGGATTCTAGGAGTGTTCCAGACGTGCATCTTCCTCCCACACGGGCATTTCCCGGGGCGATCCCGTCTCAGGGAGGCACTGCATGTCCCTAGCCAGGTGAGCACGGTATGACAGAGGTTTAAAAACAGACAAACAGATGAAAACAAACCAGTGCTTCGTTGGAGATAACAGTAGTTGGAGACCCTGGAGCAAGTCAGGCACTCTCTGGGTTTCAATTTTATTGTGTGGCTAATTGGTGTGGGAGCCACGTCACCGAGGGCTGCCACGAGGCTCTGGGTGTTGGTGCCATTGTCCCAAGAGGTGCTCTCATCAAAAAAGGATACATGTTTCGATGTTGGCCCCAACAATATACCCAGTTACATCAAAGTTGATTCGAATAAACTTGCCCTGAAATTAAATTAAAAAGAGAGAATTAGAGATAAATAAGGACACAGAGAATCTGAATACTATACTAAAGATTAAACAAGGGGCCTAGCCAACGATCCACCTGCTATTACAAAACTACATCTTAAATATGGTCTCATAAAAAGGAGAAGTTTGAGAGGCAAGAGACCACCTCAATAAATCTCACGAAGGCAGCACCAGGCTTGGTTACATCCCGGCTATAACGGTGGAATAAAGGAGAAATGATTAACAAAAGAAAATTAACAAAATGCCAGTCACTTTAGATTAACGAAAATGTCCTTCTGAACAATCTGATATGACAGACAGATCTGAAGTAACACTACATTCAATCGAACACAGGATGATTCTAGAGAGACACAAAATCGTTCCAAAAAGGGCAGAGACTTTAACAGATCACAATTGTTTGTTTTAAAAAAGTAAATAGGATGACTTCTTTACAAATGGTGAATTGGTCTTTTTACAGGTTTCTAAGAAACATTTAATTCCCTTACTGTACAAGCTGTTTTTTTTTTTTGGGGGGGGGGGGGAGATCCTAGTGAATTTTTTTTAATGTTCTTTTTTAAAAAAATCATTTTATTAGGGGCTCATACAACTCTTATCCCAATCCATACACACATCAATTGTGTAAAGCGCATTTGTACATCGTTTCTCAAAACATTTTCTCTCCATTTAAACCCCCGACATTAGGTCCTCATTTTCCCCCTCCCTCCCTGCTCCCCCCTCCCTCATGAGCCCTTGATAATTTATAAATTGTTATTTTGTCATATCTTGCCCTGTCCGACGTCTCCCCTCACCCACTTTTCTGTTGTCTGTCCCCCAGGGAGGAGGTCACATATAGTTCCTTATAATCGGTTCCCTCTTTCCAACCCACTCTCCCTCTACCCTCCCTGTTTCGCCACTCATTGTACAAGCTGTTTTAGGGAAACACAGTAGTGACTATTTCCAAAATTCTTTTATACAGTTATTATATAGTACTGCTATACGACCTGGAAAAGCCAGCACAGAAAAGGCAAAATCAAAGCAAATGTGGATCTGTCTCCCCCTTTAGATTTTTTTTTTTAAGGTCAAATAAAACACATTGGCAAAACACAGCACATAAATAAATGAAATAAAATGTGCTTTCACTTCGGAGCATTAAGAAAGCCTGATACCCCCTGCAGGTCTAACCGGTGCTGCACGGCCAGTGCAAGGGCAGGCAGGCTCTTTGGGGGAGTTTCTGAAAATCTACCGACAAATGCATAGGATCTACTAATAGCTTACGCAATGTTGAGAAAGGGAGATTTTACACAATTAAAAAAGCTAAAGATTGGACTTGTCAAGACAACATGGTCTCTACGTAAGAACAGACAAAGAGATGAATGAAATGGAACACAGTCCAGAGCTAGACCCCCCCCCATGATCAGAGTCCTTTAAAGACAGGATTCACAGCAGGTCAGCAGGAAAAAGGCCAGATTTTCAGCAAGTGATGTGTGTAAAACTCCGCATCTACGTGTAAAAAGAGATCACGTCAAATTCTCACGGAATCTAACTTTCTGGAGCCACGGAATCTAATGAATCCCAGAAACAATTGCTCTGGGATAATGTTTAACCTTAAACCCAAAATATCACCTGGACTCTTCTTTAAAGCAAACAATAGTTTAGAGGGAAAAAGTTTACCTTGAGCACTGTTCTCTTCTAAAGAAGCATCTTCACGAAATCAAACTGGTAACAGCGCTGGGAAGGCACATGGGAAGGCTAGGGCGGTACGTTATGTTAACGCGAGAGGATGACTGGGAGAGAGAGGGCAAGAATGGCTGTACAACTTGAAGAACAGAATAAAAGTCACTGCACTGTACACGGGGAAGTTAATGAAGGATCGTGTTCTAGAAAAATGTATTGTGCAGAACAAATTTTTTTCATTAAACAAGTGCAAAACTTTTAAAGAGTACAGGAGAAAATTTTTGTGACTTTAGGTTGATGCGATTTCTTATAAAAGAGTGGATCTCTCTCTCTTTCTCTCTCACACACACACATGCGCGCTCGAGCTAATAGAATGTCTGCATCCACGTTAAAAAAGATACTGTGACCAGAAGAACTAGATGGTGCCCAACTATCAGGAATGAGCTCTCTCAACAGGCTCAAGGTAGAAGGAAGATGCAGAACAAATCCAAAAGCATTAAAAAGACCAGACTTAAGAGGACTAATTAATAAGAGACGTGGAACCTGAGACGTCCTTCAACACTGGAAGTGAACCACTCCCAGTTTGTTCAGTCCAACAATACATAGGCCTCTCTCTTATGAGGCACAGGAGCCTTTAAACGGTCCACCAAGATATCTAAAGGGCAGCACTTGCCTGGAAGAAAGTTCAGAAGGCAGGAAGGGGCATGGAAGCACGGGGAACCCAGAGAAGAATTGGCAAAAGTTGGCTGTTCTATTGAGGGTGCTTGCAACTAAGGTCAGGAAAACAAATGGAAACGAATTGTTCAATGGGAAAGTCTCACCCAACCTACAAGAAAATGTTAATAATAATAAAAAAAAAACCCACTAAAAACTGACGTTGTAAACAGACAGGCCAAAAATTGAAGTAAAATATTTGTAAAACATTTATCTGAAATAAAGAACTTGTACACAGCTTACATTAAAAACAAAGCAAAAAACCCAACCAAACTTTAACGACCTAACACAAACAACCCATAATAATATTTGTGTCACCAGGGCTCCTTAATAATACCTTTTCCTTTTAAAATTAAACACCTTATCTGCAAGATGTCCAGAAATGTACTGGGGAATTGAGGCGCTTGAATTATGGCGATGGCAGAGAACACTGAATAGGCCAGGGCCTGCCAGAAGCAGCAGCTGCAAATCTGTCTTGCAGTAAGTTCAAACAGAATGCTACTTAGCAGCAGAGCGGACAAGATCTCAGGTGTCACATTTTGGACACGTTCTAAGGAGGAGCCAGTTCTTGGAGAAGAACGTTGTACTTGGCTCAAGTAGAAGGTCGGCGAAAAAGAGGAAGCGTCTCAACAGAGACGCACACGGCTGAATGGGCTGAAACACGGCGATGGCCATGCGGCTGGCGCGGGAGTGGGCAGGATTCCATTCTGCTGGGCCCAGGCTCGCTCCGAGTTGGGGTCCACCCCACGGCACCTAACAACTCCGCTTAGTAAGATACATGGTCTAGGTGCCTGTTGTAAAATACTCCGCGAGGAAGTAGTTCCTACTGAATGGCTGGCTGCATCTGAATGTCACAAGTCCTTGGTGCCCTTTGAAGTAGCTTGTTCTCAATTCTAGGTGATCATCGCTTGAAAATTCAACCTAAGATTTTCCTTACAGAATTAACTTCACCATGATTAGTCCACAGTACTCTCCCTTGTCTCTTTGCATTCATCTGCTTTGTCTAGTATTTGTAGAATGTTTTCTTCTGTGAATTTTTTCTTTTTTGCCATCACGGGCACACAATGAAACGCTCTGACTTTCCCGCTCTGTTCATATGAAAGCTAAAAATAGACTACAAAGACAGTGTCTCTTCTTTGAAGCCTCCTCTGAAAATAATGCGGTACTTTGGGCAAAATAATTACAAAGCTCAAGGATAATGTAATGTAACCGTGACAATTCATTCACAACTGTTCACCAATCATTAAAAAAAAATTGAAGGCAGAGTTGAGAAAGAAACAGTAAGTAATGATGAGATCAATCTTAGAACGATGAAATAGCCAAAGGTTTCCAGAGACGCCACTAATATCTCGTAACAGAGCTTAGCTTGATACAATGTCTCCCTGGGCCCAAACGACTAAACGACTAAACCCGAGAGAGGGGGCGCTTTATTCTGCTTGATGGATGCATTGACAAGGGCTTCTGCAACCTTTCCGCGGGTCATTCATGAGGCCTCTGTACGGTCAGTCAGCAACTTCACAACGGGCAAAGCAGGTTGGTTTCCTACACAGAAATCATTTTTCCCTTTTCTAATTTGGTGTTCAAGGAGCCGTGGAGACACAGCAGTGCAGGTCAGTGGTTCAAAACCACTCGTTGCTCTGTAAGGAAGAGGTGACAGTTTGGGAGCCCCAGGGGCAGTGCTACTCCGCCCTCTAAAGTGGCGTGAGTCAGAACCTACGCACTGCACACAGCAGCGGAGGCGGGGAGTTATTAAAGTTATGCGGTATGCTGTTTACATTCCAGCACAGTGCCATCAGCTACACGCGTTAGTTAAATCCTCACTCTAGAGGTAGCTCTTTGCCCTAAATGAGGAAACAGGTTTTGAGAGTAATTAAAAACCCAACGCACTGTCAGCAGGGCTGAATCTGACTCACATGACCCTGACAGGGTGTCCGGGGCTGCTGTAAACCTTTCTGGGAGCAGACAGGCTCAGCTTTCTAACAAGGAGTGGCTGGTGGTTTTGAACCGCCAACCTTGCAGTTAGAGGAGCCCAATACTTACCTGGGAGGGCTCCTCAGAGGAAACAGCATTTATCCAACGGCCAGGGACCAGGAGTGCTTACTTTATATGGTGCAGCTACCATAATCTCCAGCTATACCAAAGATCTTGTTAATTAGTTTTTATTATTGTTGTTGCTTTTGCTGAAGTCCAGGCCCACGGGCAGTAACAAGCACTCGGGTCAGAGGAAGAAATGAGATCCACGGACTGATGTTGCTGTGATGAGCAGCCGTGGACTGGGCACCAGCTTATGGTTGACCAAGTTCAAAGAGTGAAAGCTCACCCGGTCCTGTGCCATCCTCAAGAGTGAGAGTGCTGGGCTTTACCGCTGCAGCACTGGTGTCCATCCATCCATCCCATCTTAGTAGGAAGGTGAGACACTCCCTGCTTAGCTGTGAACAAGGTGCTGGGAATATAGCTGCCCAGGAGGCCGTGCTGGTGCAAACGGCTCCGTCCCACAGCCAGCCCCTGGACACTGCCACGATTGTCTCAGCGACTCTTCTGGGGAAAGGCACCTGTAGAGAGCAGACACTGCACCCATCTTCCAACATGCTTCCCGGTGTCTGTACGCT